TAGATAGTTCTTTGTGAAGATGGCAGTGAACCACTGGTAGACAGATGATCCAGTATTTTCACACTATGGAAATGAAGTCTAAATCCATGCTAGTGGTAATGTACATCAGTTATCCCACACACAGTCGCGTAAGCTGACCTGTTCTGTGCCCATATGACTGCACAAATGAAATGCTAAAACATGTCAACACCATCAAATGGCAGTCCTGCCATTAATCTCAACAGGAAACCAGGGTTCAACGTGTCACATTCAACGAAAAGCATGCAGAAAGAGAAAGGGCAAAGGCAGGTCCCCAGCAAAGAGGCAGAAGAACGAGACAAGGCAGATGAAGGAGCAGAAGTAATTAGTTCAGATCCTGATAAACTCAGAACTCTTTGATCAATAAAGAATAGAAAACATATTTTATATCTTAACCCATGCCACACTTTTATAAACCGGTCCTATTTCAGTATTCATACTACACATGCATACAAACAGTCCTACCTCAGAAAGGACAAATTCCTTTTCTTTTGGATTTTACAGGGACCTGAAGGAAAATTCTCTTTGCAAACACCAGGCTGAGCACTGAAGTTTTCAGCAGCGGCAGCAGGGCTGTCTGAGGGACGCTGCAGCTCTTGTTTCAGCGGAACACGTCACCACTACGTGAAGAATAGCTGCATAATATTCCTTCCAACTAACATACAAAGTGATTCACACCAACATTTCTTAGACCTAACCCTTCCACACCGCTGGTGGGGCATGATGCAGTCTTCCAACATTACTACAAAAAAGTAAATAAGCGACGTATAAAATTACCTGCCGTTGTCTTATGCGTCCCTAGTCTTCACTAAGCCCGGCTGAAGAGGCAAGAGCAGCTCTGCAGCACCAAGGCTGCTCCCCTGTCACATAACCTGGGGCACAAACTACCTCAACAACACCCTTTCACTGCCTCCTCTCCCTTCGCTCCACAGCAAACCCACTACTCCTTTAGTGCCGTCGGTCTGACTCTGGCCCGCAGGAGAAGCCTCCGAGGACGAAGAGCGGCCTCCTGAAATGCTTTCCCCATGTTCCTGCTGCTTGCTGCCCCACACACTCCTCTTTCCAGGCAAATTTGCTTGGGCAAACCTGACTCCCAGCAGCAGCCCGCAGCTTCTTGCGGGCGCGGAAGCTGCAGAAAAGTATTTACAAACGGCGCTTTGGGATTCAGGTTGAGGCTTCAACAGACGCTCGCGCTTTGGAGCGGCGCAGATGGGAAAACTACTTCCAAAACTGTGATTGCAGATCATAGCAACGGAGCAGCTAGACTAAGAATAAACACGGCAAGCGTACACTCACAAGAACCACTATACACACACGTAGACACACGGCGATGTACGTGCACGCGCTTGGCAGTGGTAACAGTTCAAGTATAACTAGACTAAAGCCCATTTCTGAAGACGTTTCTAAGGTTACTTGGTTAAAACTGAGTCATGGCATGCTGTTGCATGTCTTATTTTAAATTCAGGATGGAAGTCTAAGAATTGCCATTTTTATAATTCCAAGTTGTTTCATAATCAAGCTTGCAGGAAATTAATACAAACAATGCCATCTCTTCAATTAAGTCTTACCCAGATTCAGTTTTGGGCAATCTGTGTTTGTGCTATACATTTTCAATTACAATTTTTTTAAAAATTTATCACACCCGAAGGTCTTCTTTTTGAAACATCTAACCCTGGTACTGTTATAATTCGGTTTGTTTAGCACATCAGGACTCACTACTATTCATGAACTGGACAGCTCCAGTAATATCTAATTACTCCATAGCTCCGAAATTTCTAATATCATGCAAAAAAAAAAATTAGAACAAATGCATCCCCTATAATTACTACAAATAATTATATTTTCTTCCTGGAGATAAAAAAAGATTACTTTGAGTAACATCATCCCTGTGATGACACATATATACCAATGCAACTTCACATTAATCACAGTAGGCAAACCATCAATCAGTGCAATGTGACAACTATTCTCCACTCCTCCTCCTCCTCTCTCGAACCAAAAAAAAAAAAAAAAAAAAAAATTCAAACCCATCTTTGGCTGTTGTGAACAAGAAGCAAAAATCTCATTTATGGAACATCAGCTTTTCAACATACAGTTGCTTGCTCTCCTTCTCAATGAGTTTGATTTCTAACACAATGACTGGAAGACTCCTGCAATAATATAATACACTTACAGCTCAAACACCAAACCTGTTCTGAGCAAAAATGCCTATTAAAAAAAAAAAAAAAATCCACTACGTTAAAAAACTAGGTTAATTTAAGCCTCTGTGTAGTCCACTGACTTCAGTGAATCCAGTGAAAGTCTAGAAGATTAGTCAGGCACTTAACACTGCCAGCAAACCTTTAACTCCGGGATGGCAGGAGGCCAGGAGGAACCCGCTACAGACTGGTAATGGCAAATAAAGGGTGGGAGCACACAATAGGAAACTTTTGCAAAAGAATGGGTCATGGGACAGAGCTCCTTTCAAGGACTTCTTGAAAGGTATGTCACCACTGTGTGTGGGGGGAAAAAAAAAAAAAAAAAAAAAGGTATTTACTAACATACTGTTGCTTACACTTTGATTATTTCCTTTTTTTTTTTTTTTTTTTTGTGGTTAATGCAGTAATACTAACTCTGCATGCCTGTAACCTGATACTTACTCAACTTACAGGCATCTCCATTTGTTACCAAGTAATACACTGATATTGTTTGGCATATTTTAAAAGCAAATCCTGATGAGATACAGTAACTCAGAAGCTTGTTATGCTTGTTCCGATCTGCACAACGCTTAGAAAAGTTAGTGTTGCTTCACCAATTTTGGCAAACTTAATAGCATGTTCAACCGCTATTTCCCTCCCATATCAAAATCCACACAAAAATACACCAGCCATTAACTAAACGCACGTATCCTTGAGCTTTTCTTTCATACTTTCAGCAGGTCCTAAAAAAAAGGCAGGGAGGGAAGTACCTACTTTACGCAAGATGCGGGAGTCATCCTATCAAAAGCTTTTATTTAAAAGCAAGCCAAGAAAACGAATGCCAGTTTCTTAACTTCTATTTAAATCAAAGTAGAAAACCCCGTTAGGAATGCCTGTGCAACCACTATTGGCCAAAAAGCCCCCAAAAGTCCAAATCTATGTCACAACTTGGGTTTACCGTAGGACAAGCAGCTTCTCTTAACACGGCAGCACTTCAGAGCCATTATGACCGGCCTTAAGCCCTACAGAACAAGTTCTGACTAAGCTGTCATCACAGGTTTGATGCTGCAGTGCTATAAAAGATGCCTTCTCCAGAAAAAAAAAAAAAAAAAAAAAAAAAAAAAAACCACACCAAAAAACCCCAAACCAAACAACTAACAAATGGAAAAAAAAAAAAAAAAAAAAGGAAAAACCAAAACCCCAGCACAATATAAATTCCAATGCTAAAAGTACGTGAAGAGAAATACGGACTGCGCCTGTTAGAAACTTCCTGAAGCAAAAACTTCAATCCTAGAACAAAGGTAAAGAAAAGTCTGGGAAATCCTGGTAGTTCATACCCACAGGTACAGAAGTTTTAAATTGAATTCTCCTCTGTTCCTTTGATGCTGACAGTTCCCTCCATGACTATTTAGGCTCAAGCAACTCTTGCTATAGGGCGAAGTCGCAAAACTCCCTAAAATCCAAAGTCTGCGGCAATTCTAAATTTCCTCTTTACCCTGCAAAGGCAGTATTTAATACCTGTGGCCACCAGCGTGTTGGACTACAGCGGGGAGAAGCTATATTAATGTAATTGCCAAATAAACCACTTTGTAATTTGAGACTGAATATTTGACAAAAGGATTGATGCAAGTGTCCTGGTAAGTCAATTTTAGCATCATTTAATAATGCTATCTCTTTACAGGTTCTGAATAGCAAGATAGTGTTAGATAAAAAAAAAAAAAAAAAAAGTTTTCAAATCCCCACCATTAAAATAGGAAAAAAACCCATCAGTGGTTACAAGGAGATACTTTAATACTGTATTTTATTATCAGTTAATTTAAACTGCATGTTGATACAGGATGCCAAAGACCGCTGGCGTGGGGGGAGAGGAGAAAGGGGGCTGAGAAGCAGTTTTAACTTCAGTAAGAAACTTGTGTACCTGCCTGATAAACACAGCCGAACCTCTTTATGTATCCTATTTATCTTCAAATCTATTTATGTCACACAAGAGAACATATGAGCAGAGCAGCTGTTACTATAGCAATGAAACTGGAAATTTTGAGAACACAAAAAAACCCACCCCTGAAGGATGCTCAGTTTAGCAGAGAGATGGTCTAGAGAACAGCGCACCAGTATCTCACTTCTAGGATCTGTTCAAAGTCTGCGGTTACAGGAGACATTAAAGCAGCTTCACAGCTCAAGAGCATCCGGAGCCGGATACCCGCTGCCCCTTCCTCGGCACGACGTGGTGCACCGGGAGTTCCTGCTAAGTGACCCCCCCCCCCCCCAAAACTTGTCAAATACCCCAGCGCCGCCCGTAAATCCGGGGAAGAGCGATCCTCTGCAAAACGCTCACGGGTTTTGTTCGCGGCAGAGAAGGGACCCACCGCAGTTCCCTCCTCCCCACCCGAGCCCGGGGGGGGGGGGGGTGAAGGGGCAGGGAGCTCGGCGCGGCGAGTCCCGCACCCCCCCCCCCCCACCCCCCCCCCCCCCGCCGCCGGGTGCAGTCCCGGTACTTTCGGCTCCCCGCTGCCACGAAACCCCCAATTCCACCCCCCACCCCGTTCTCCTGTCAAACGCGCCCCACTCCTTCTTCTTTACCACCCACCCCCCCCCCCCCCCCCCGCGGCCGGCCGCCGGCTCACCCCGCCCCGGGAGACGCCGCGGCTGCCGGGACGCGGCCGCCGTTCCCACCCCGCCGCCTTCTCCGCGGGCGCGGCGGCACCGCGCCTCCCCCCCTCCAAAAAAAAAAAAAATACAAAACAAAAAAAAAAAAAAAAAAAAAACCAAACCCGCGGAGCCACGGCGCTGCCGGCCGCGATTTACCTGCGAGGGAGCCGGGTCTCTGCAGCGTGGCGGTGGCGTACAGCTCCTGGGAGTGCTTGCCGTACTGATCGGCGGCGTGAACCAGCCGCTTGGTGGGCGACAGGGTGGCGTAAGTGCCGATGGTGGAGCTTAACTGGTGGATAGGAGAGGAGGAAACGTTAGACTGGACGGTGGGCGGGGAGGTCACTCGGAGGGGGGACGGCGACAGCGACAGTCCCGCCGAGGAGACGACGATGTTGATGGGCGAGCTGGTGCTGTAGGACTTGGCCAGGCGGCTGGGGGACTGCTTCGGGGAGGAGAGGCGCTGCGCGGCGGCGTAGGCGGCGCCCTCGGCGGCGGAGCCGGCCCGCGGCAGCTTGGTGGGGGAGCCGCCGCCGGGCTGGGTGGGCAGCGGGGAGCCCACCCGCGGCGCCGGCAGCGTGGAGCTGGCGTAGTAGAGGGCGGCGGCGTGCTGGGGCTCGGGCAGGTGGAAGGCGCTGCCGTGGCTGGGAGCGAAGGGCTCCCGCGGTTGCGGGACGGCGGGAGGAGGCGGTTCCGGGCCGCCCGGGTGGGCGCCGCGGCCCCCCGGGCCCTGCTGCGGGAAGGAAAGGCAGAGGCGTCAGCGCGGGGGGGGGGGGGGAAGGCGGCTGAAGGGGCCCGCTCGCCGGGGGACACCCCCCCCACCCACCCCACTCGCTGACCCGAAGCCGCGGCGCGGCGGGGCCCGCGGAAGGGCTCGCAGCACACGCGCCCCCCCCCACCGCCTCCACATTCCCCCTCAGGGAAAGCCCCGAGCGGGCCCCGCGTCACGGACGGGGGGTCGGCACCCGGCGAAGCGCTTTCCCCCCCCCCCCCCCCCCCCCCAACTCAGCCCGGCCCGAGCGGGCACGTCCGTGAGCACCCCCGCCGCGCATCCCCCCCCCCGAAACTCGTCGCTCTGCCTACATCAGGAAAGAGCAGCCGGGAAAAGGGCTTCGGCCGGGTCGCTTTCCTCGCAGAGCGGCGAGGAGGGGGGGGAAGAAGCGGGGGGGGGGGGGGAAGAAGCCCGGCGCGGCAGCCGGTCGCCTCTTATCGTGAGGGGGCACGGGGGGAAGGAGGGCGGAGGGGCTGGGGGGGGGGGGGGGGGGGCTCCCGGAGCCGGACACACACACACCCCCCCCCCCCCCAGGCCTCTGCAGCGGGGGGGCAGCGCAGCGCGAAGATCCCCTTCAGCCCGGGAATTTGGGAGGGGAGGTTGGGGGCGAGGGGGAAACGAGCGCAAAATCCTCGGCGGGTGCTGCCCGTTAGAAATGTTCGGTGCTGAGCCCGAGCCGCTCCTGGAGCGGCAGAGGAGCGAGCTCGTCCTTACAGCCGGGCGGCTTCCCCGCCTTCACCCCGTCCTCACTCTCAAGAGATCATCTCTGAACCCCGTAGCAGTAAAATTCTCTCAGAACGGCACCCCACGGTCAGCGAGAGCTGGGCGCTCGGTTGGAAGACACGCTCTTGTTTCAGATTCCCCCCCCGGTTATTCAGGCTATTTACTCCCAACCTCAGCAACCCCCCCCCCCCCCCGATCCCGGGAGCTGGCAGCGCGGCTGGAGTCAGTGTGACCAGTGCTTTGCCCAAACACACACACACACACACGCCTCTCGGCTCCTGATCCCCTCGGCCAGAAAAGCCTTTAAAATGTAAATAAGGAATTTTGTGACTCGATTCAAAGAGGTGTGGTTGAATGCCGACGGCGGCGTTGCTTCACGTTTAAATAGCAACATGGGTTTTTAGTAGCATCCTACAGTAAAAAAAAAAAAAAAAAAAAACAAAACCAAACCCGCATGTAAACAAAAGCACCATGTTCCTGGTATTAAACTTGATTTATTTTCACTAGGATGCTCAATAAAGGATTTGGTATTAAACTTGATTTATTTTCACTAGGATGCTCAATAAAGGATTTGGTCAGGAACTGAGGACAACATAAACCAAATAATCGGAGCAAAGAATCGATGAGGTTCAAAATGCCAGGAATGTGTACTTCTTCCCGTGTACGCCCACTGGCAATTTTGCTGTCCTTTTTTTTTTTTTTTTTTTTTTTTTTTTTTTTTTCACTTTTGGAGCCCCGTCCCTCATCTTAAATGCTTCGCATCCGGGGGAAGAATATGTATTTTTCTAGCCACGGGCAAGAAGCGAGGCTTTGCAGGAGCTGCTCCTGGGGCTTTGCTCCCGGTGAGGAGCAGGGAAGCTGCCAGCCCTCGCAGGGTTCAGACGCCTCAAGGGAGCACTGCCAGACCCAAACCTCACTGGCTTCGGGAGGTTTTTGTGCCCGAAAAGAAATGGCCTTCTAGATAAATGCAATGCAAACCGTTCCCTCCAGCTGTTCTATGTGCTAAGTCCCGGGAGGGCAAGGGGATGGGGGATGTAAGTAGCCTGCTTGCTGTTGGGTTGGACTGCTGTGATCGCGGCCGCGAGTTGCAAACGCCACAGCACCACGCCTTGACATTTTCATATATGGCTAGCAAGCTCCAGTCGCTTCTTTGAAAGACTCCTCGCAAAAAAAAACAGGGAGGTGAACTCTGGGAACATCCATGACAGGCCTTTTTAAAAGCTACTTTCATGCTGAGCTACTTACCGTCTCGGCTTTAAACTGGACAGAAGGGCTAATCAGCAACTGACTGTCCAACAATGTATTTGACAGGAGTACAGTTTTCATTTTCCAGGTTTAAACTGTATGATAACTTTTACAGAACAAAAACAGGCTGGCAAGATTTAAGACAACATGAACAGAGCAAGGTTTGCACGTGACAAAAGGTTGCTTGAACCAGCTGTGTTATCAGTTGGCATCTGTTAATAAGTTTGACTTTTTGGACTGTGAGGTGGCGTGATAAATATATTTTGTAATACTCAACATTGTGCCAAAATACAGCCTTCTGCAATGTTACCAGTGTCCTCTGCAACACACTGCTAGTGCACTGGGGTAAGACTGTTTGTCATTGATCAGAAGGATTTTAGGCAAGCACTGTCATCATGTATATAAAATTTCTAATTTACTTCTACACTGCTTGGTGTGTCAAGGTTTTAAAATAATTAATTTCAAGTAAACCTGCATTATCCCATATTCCTAATAAATCTCTATAAAGCTACAGGCATTCCGCAAGTACTAATTCAAAAAACAAAAAAAAAATCCCACCTGACGGTTGTGTTATAGGGAAGAAGGTGTAGTGGCAGAACACGAGAATTAAATGCTTAATTAAAAAGGCAGTGTATAGCACTTCCTAAAAAGCTAAGCATTTGCTCTCTGTGAAGGAGAGAACTTTTGGATTAACAGATTGCAATGAAAACACTAGCATGCAGTATCTTCTAGGATGTGACTAATCTCAGACCTGTCTTAAATTTACTGCGAGGTTCTTATGTTTTTTCAAAGGGCCAAGCGTACAGGCATGTTCTCCACTTGTGTTTTCAGAGGCAAAATGCGTTTTAGTTTCTCCTTGTCTGCTGATTAAGACAACCATACAGACACGTAACTGTTCATTCTGCAGTATGACATTATACCTCATTGGGAAGAATGAAATGCAATGTTATTTTCCCCCTTCTTTCTCCATTTACCCATGACTGTTGTCAACCTGATAATGAAACTGCGTTTAAACTAATAAACTGAAGGGAAATTTGTTTCTCGGCTGTTATATCCTCCTACATCAATCTATTTCATAGGTGTGAACAATAATCGAGGAGTATTCTAAGGCTCAGAGATTTCATTTTTCTGGTATCCCAAAGAAAAGGAGCCCGATTTGCTTATTTGGATTCAGTATATGGATTCTTATATATCCTTTTTAGCATCAGAAATGTGTGAAAAAAACCATGAGAACATTAGTACAGCTATGAAAATATTTTTTTTCCCCATTTAGTCTTAGGAGAAAGATCATTCTCTCCTGATACGGACAAAATGAGATCTGCAGAGCTCTACACAACGAATTACCAAGGATGTCCAGTTAGGTTATATGTATTCACAAACATTTTTAGCTTAGCATTCGATGCCAGCACCAGTTTTATCCAGCTCATTTTGCTCTCTGGAACTGTCAGGGATTGCTTGGCCCTTAACATTTCAAAGGTGGTCATATCTGATGAACGTGAACACAGTCACATACACTGCACTGTTGGCCATGAGAAGACCCTTTCTCTGGATTGTAGGGAAGATTTCCCAACTGGATGCTCGAGGTGTGTGGAAGACACTCCCCCAGGCTGCTTTGGCTTCTCGAGTATTGGTGGGTGTTGCTCGCTTTAGGCAGCAAACTTGATCATCCTTACTAGGGGGTTTTGAGAGACATGGGTGATTTTTTTTTTAAGTGTCCAGCTCTGCTTCACAATCTCAGTGGTGCTCTGTGCTCTTTCAGTGACTCCAAGACTTGCCAGTCTATTGAGGGGGTATTTTTTTTTTCTGTCGGCCCAAAGAACTTTCCATATGGCTTCGCTTGAGGTATCACTCTGCTCTGGTCCAATGCCTCTATCAATACTTTTCTAGAAAGGGCAGAAGAGGCTATGGACAATGCTTAACCTTCTCTCGTCTGCTGTCTTTTATGAGTTCCCAACCTAACTAGGACGATGCTACCTATGTTCAAACACACTTATATGATAACAGATGCCAGACTGTACTTCTGGATCCCTCAAATGTGGCCTATTCCATCTCTTTCTATCACAAAGGTCATGGCTATCCTCTGCTTGCAGAATACATCCCGACAATGCAAAATACGTCCCGACAATATTAGGAAAACCCGTCAGCCTGCTCGATCCTAATCTCAAAGGTCATACATATAGATGGAGGTAGGTAATACCATCGTAGTCTTCTACATCCACAAGCAGAACTGTGTGAGATCCTTTCAGAGTGTGCAGAGGTGGTCAGTCTCTGGCTGTAAAGCAGCAATGAAAGCTGCAGTCATTACCTACTGTAGGATCAAACCCGCACCATGCAGATCACTTCTTCAGTACCACAAGCTGTACTAGTGAACTGTTCTCTGTGAGCGTCATAATAAGATTAATCTGGGTTAAGATTTCATCTGCTTCCTTTAATGACAGAAAAATTCTCATGTTCCTATTTGGAATCCAGTTTTAAACACATCATCCTCTGCCACATCCTACCAGAAGTGAAGCCCTTATTTTAGATTTTGTCTGGGTAGATTATCAAGAAGTCTATCACTTCGTGGCACAGAAGGCTGATGATGGGGAAGAGCCACGAGTCTAACTGAAAAAGACCAGTGTACAGTTTTTGCTTGACAGCTGAACACATTCTTGTACTCGTTTGCTAATGTTCTAAACAGAGCTAGTGAAGTGTGGTGGTCAGACGGATGACGAACTTGTGACTTGTTTACAGGAAAAAGAAGACAAGTTAGAAAATTAACTGCTAAACGATTTTCAAGGCTTTTTTTTTTTTTTTTTTTAGTTACCTTTATTTTCCATCTATTTTTCGTTTTTAAGGGTTTTCAAACTTTGTGCCAGCTTGTTCAGCCCAGAAGCTTCTGGAGCAGAGGATAATACAGAGTAGGGATTTACCTCTGTTGCTGTCACGGTCTCTGAAAAGACTGCAGCATCACCAGAAGCTAAAAAAGTCCTCATCCCAAAATGTAAACTAATTTCACTTCCTTTCCCCTCCCCTTGCAAATAAATGTCAGAGCATGTGGAAAACCAGTATTTGCAGTACGTGCTATGCTTTATATTCCTACGATACCTACAACATAAGCTGACCGTTCTCAAGATGACACTAAACCAAATCAATCAGATCTTCACAATTTACATTGTCCAAAGAGGAGATTCACTTTTGAGCGACTCATCTGCAAAATCTGCTACTTTTTGTACTAAGAGCCACTACTGACTCTTCACAAATAACCTTAATCGATTAATACAGGATATATCAGGATCTGGACACTTTTCAGCAGGGAAACAAAATAATCCCCTGCCAGCGGAGCAGTTCTTGCTAAGAAATTTTAGAAGATAAAAGTTTCGTGTTCTAAAGTACGCAAAGCAGTGGAAAAAGTCTATCATCTATAATGAAGTCCTCCAAATTGACAAAAATGTTCGATTGCACTTTGCAGCACTATACAGGAAGTCCCAAGACTAATTAGTTTCTCTTTTTTATACAATTGCATTTTCAGAAATTGTTCTTGCTGTCACAGCTGGCCTTGGGACTATTTACATATTTTTTCCACACATTTGGGCTATCATTCATGTTCAGAGATAGCTATATTCCTTGCACAGAAATACCAAAGGAAATTGTCACAATCTCAGCAGTTTTGACTCCTGAGGCTTATTTTAATTATAATAGGGATAGCAAAACAATTCCAAGGATTGACTTTTTTTTCTCCTTAATTGTGGGATCAGCAATGGTCATATTAAAAACTTTTTCATTTTAACTGTCGACTCCTTCTTTTCTTGTTTACCTCTTTTAAAACCTCCTTTATATGCTTTTTTTTTTTTTTTAATTGTATTAATTCATAGTTTATATAGCAATTTGTTAATATATTCAAGATATATTTTAATTGACCTGAAGTCGACAAGCATCCTTTGCAGGATGATGGTGTGAAAAACTATTATGTTCTGTGAGTTATTTTCCTGCAGGAACATCTACCATACAGTGTGAAGGAACACAAGAAGAAAACCTGTTTTCTGCCCTCTCATACCAAGAAAAAAACAAGGGATAGGAAAGGTTGCCTTACTAACTCACTAGTTACCTTTCTGAAAGTAACAAGTTCTCTGTGAAGTGGATGGTTCATGAGAGCTTTTCAGATCTAAGCATGGCTGTTCAGTGGAATTTAAATGAAAGAAATCTAGATCATTACTTTTTCCCCCTCTCCATAAATTCACCCTTTTCTATCAGTGAGTACGATGAAGTTTATATTATCACTACTTCTAACCCCTAGACAATTGCACACTTTCCCTTCCTGACTTTTTTTTTTTTATTTTTTAAGATTCTTTCTCCTTTCCCTCTCATTCCTTCTCTGCTTTTGTTTCTGTTGCTCCGTTGATCCCATAACCTGTTCCTTTTCCATCATCTTACTTTTTCTAGCCGTCCTGAAGAATGTCTCACACCCTTTCAGGCTAACCCCCAAGGCACGATGCTTTTCACAAAGCACAACTCCTGATGACACCTGCCCAGGCTACGACTGGATATCATAGCCTCCTGTTTCTTTCTAGCTGGAATCCTGCTTTCCTGCTGGCTCAAATCCCAAAGAACATCAGGCAGGTCCTCTTGGTAAACACGGAAATACCCCGAGGCCTTACCACTGCACAGGCTCATTTTAAACCCTTTACAGAAGAAAAAAAAGTACCTATCCAACCTGAAATGAAGTTTAGCTGTGTTCTGTTTCATTTTTCAATCTTAGAGGATAGGGAGCTTTTCTGAGCAAATCGAGAGAATCGAATATTGTATGTCTCTCAGTATCCCACAAGCTGTGCAATGACTATATAATACTTGAAATCTCTTAGCAATTGAAGGCTTTGAAATTCAAATACTGCTCACTTCTACAGAATCCTGAATTATAAAGTGTCCCAGTGTCACACTGAGATGGCCTGCTCTGCTGGAGCAGTTAACATCTAAACACAGAAAATAACCTGAGCTGACCAACGCAAACCTGGCAGACTTTGTTTATGTACAGAAGTACGAATGCTTCTAGAAAGTTTTGTCTAAACTGAAGCTTAGCTTCCCAGTGAAAGGCTTTGATGTTGCAGAGAACAGTACAGAAGGTGAGAGGGTTACGTGTCAGAGCCAGGACGGATCATTTAGACAGGAAGAGAGATTTATGAAGTTTTCACGGGCATCTGAAACAATCTTTCAAAACGTTTGAAATGTACAGGTGGATGTCTGATAAGTCATTTGTCTTACAATGTGGGGAGGAAAAAAAGGCAAAAAATGATCCTTACACTTGGGATTAGGCCACGGCACCAGGCGAGGTATGGTATCCCAAGGAGGTTTCGCATCTGGTGTTTGTTTTTGTTTGCTGGCACTTACTGCTTTCAGTAATATCCTGATAACAACACAGGGAGGTCCCAGACCTTAGTAAGGGCTCCTAATCAGCACAGTCACAGAAACTTTCAAAGGTAAGCTCTTAAACATCACCAAAATCTGTATGCAAGCGAGTGAGTAAAACTGGCAGGTAAATCTCCTTTTTAATCCGGATTATTTTATTACTGTGCAAGTCGACCCGCTTTAGACTGAAGAAAATCAAGGTGGTAACCCCACCTCGCTGCAGATGGGTTGATCAAGACCATAAATAAATAAAAGCTGACCTTCACGTGCCAGCGGGCACCGAACAGCTCTGTTTGCTGGGAGCAAACCCCCACACCCACTCCCCCCCCACCACGATTTCAGGTGCGAGAGACCCCGGACACGTACCTGGCTGTAGCTCTGGATGGCACCTCTGGGCTGAGCGCTGCGGGCCGGGAGCTGGGCGCCCGTCGTTTCGCCCAGGGCGAGGGTCTGGTTGCTGTGGTAGCTGGCCGAGTACTGGAAAGACCCTTCAGGTTTGGAATTGAGCTGGAGCGCGCTCTGGGAGAGGAGGCTGGGCCCTGCGGGGAACGGGATTTGAGAGCAGTCAGAAAGTCTCCGTGAGAGAGCACACCTGTTTTATCCGTGGAGCGAGCCTCAAAATTATCAGATGTATGTGGCGTCAGCTTTTCACAGGTCAGCTTTTCGGTAATAAAAAAAAAAAAAAAAAAAAAAAATCACAGACATTAATTTGTTTCTTTACCGCTCGTTCATCATCATTATTGTGCTCAAGCTACAGACCACGTTGCTTGCTTTGCCAAAAACCTATGGTTTTGACTGGTGAAGAAATTCTAAGCCTAAACAAACCCAGCCATACTATCTGATAAAGAAGTGTTGGTTTTCAGCTCGGAATAGTTGATGAGTTTTCTTTTTTTTTTTTTTTCTAAGGATAAGCCTTGATGTTTCACTTAATTATATCCAGTTGTTCTGCACGGGAAATGCTACCTTGTCCCTCCCTGGGCCCCCAGCACATTAGATCTATTGATTACTGCCACTCTGTCCTGTACGCACGGTGAGGTAATACTTCGGTGCTTGTAGGGATGGATGGCAGCCTTTAAAATATTAATAGCTCCTCTCATCATGTAGGACTCACCCTGATCTTAGTGAATCTTTGATGACTGTTTTGTCAGCCTATCTTATCTTCCCCACCACAGCACTGCCCGGCAGGAGAGCCAAGTGCAGGCAGCGAGCTTAAATCGGGGCTGCGAGCCTGAAGGGCACGTTGGGATCACGAACAGGGACACTTCCCACAGTTATTTAGCTGTCCCGTGAAACTAAAACGTGTCCTAATATTCGTTACGTTCATGTACAGGTGATTTAGCTTATCACGTATCCACGGCAAATTCCCCAATTTTTTTGCCTGGAGAGCATATATCAGACAGGGCAAGGCTTCCCCTCCGTTGCACTGCTGCATGGTTTAGACACGACCTCCCGCAACCACTTTTAACGTTGAACTCATTCTGTCTCCACACACGAAGAGCTACGCTAAAGAATCCCCACCAAATCCTTCCCTCTGCCTTCACTGATTTTAGTCTCTTCTAATTCTCAATAAGCTAGCTCGCTCTGCCATGGTGTTTGGGCCCAGCACGTTAAATACAAGAGGAGAGGAAAGGAGAGAGTTATTCCTTGGCCATTGCATGAGCTACAAGGAAGACTACCTTCTACCCAACAGCGATCATCTATAGCATATTCAGCAGCTCCGTGGGGAGGATAGGTTCCTCTTCTGGTTAGCACTAACAAGCTCACGAGAGCACAGGAGGTGACACAAACCTTACGGGATGTGAGACGATTATGTTGATTTCGCTCCTACTGAGCAGGTGCAAAGTTTAGTTTTAAAAGACTCACAGTGGCAAAATTCTAGTGAATTTGACGAGAAATAGCTCCCATTCCTGATACAAAGGCCAAATTTGATGACTTTAAGTCTTTGCTACAAGGATGTACAGCTGCTGCAAAAAAAGATTTCCACTTAGAAAACGTGGAAACAACCCTAGCCGCAAATTAACACGGAGAGTATTTTTTTTCCTCTATCTCGTTTCTCAAAAATGGCAGAACTGTTATAGCTGATATCTTCCAAAATCCAGCCCGAACCGGTCCTATTACAAACAAATATGGTAACCTGTGTAAAGCAGAGGTGTTCACATTGAAGTGTAGACTAGGATCGTGACAGTATTTTACATACCAACACAATTTAGACTGCAAAGTGAATTGCATTTATCAGAATATTCCAGATACAGGACAAATTTAGTATGTAAGTTCTGGTCCTTGTATTTTCCTTACCAATATAGAAGGAGCCAGGGCTCCATGTATGCTGTGAGGTTATTAAAGATGTATCACATGCATGGGAGAGCTGAATTTAATCCTGCATGGGTCCTTATAAATCCAACATTTGTAGCTTTCCATTCTCTGACTCTGCAACTAGTTTACTAAGCATTTTCCATTTAGCCGGATTTGTTGAAAATTTTGTTCTTTAAAGAAAGAAGTATTTTCACATATACTTTTAAAGAGCATAAAGAAAATACAGGCCTGGTTTTAAAATATATCTGTAGACTTAATTTGAAAATTTTGGTTTTTGAATTTTCACTGAGAATTTGCCTCTGATCAAATGACATGATTAAGTTAAGAAAATTCACAAAAGCATAACTTTCCCCGGAGGGGCAAAAGTTGCAGCAAGAAAGCAATTTTTGTGCATGAAAGTGTTTGTACTCATTCTGAAAGTAATTATGCTGTGACATTTCTAAAGCTTAAATAATGATTAAACTATCACACGCTATGAACTCAATATGTTTAAATTTTCATTGCATCTGGCTTTCAAGTGTTCCTTTCATATTACTATGGCTCACTAGGGGATTTGCATAGCCAGCTAGAATCGCATACATGGGTTCCCTGCACCGGTTAGCCTAAACATTTCCACGCACTTTAAGAAACTTATCAAAGCCATAGAAAAAGGATTTTTAGTAAAAAGTTTGGAGCGCATGTGTTTAGGTTCATTAACTACTGTATAGCAGTTTTGATTTTGTACCTTAACCAGCAGTAATGGACAATTAAAACATACATTCATTTCCATAAAGTAATTACAAAGTCATTTGAGAGAGACAGCCAGATAGACATTTAAACTTTAAAGAAGCCCCCGTTTCTCAAGTAAATGTAGAAGAGAGCTGTGGCTGCTCAGGTGTAAATAAGTCTAAAGCAAGTGTACAAACTACGAGACACATCTGAGATCGATCAGCATGATCGTGAAAAACCAGAAGTTCCTTTTTCAGGATTTAGGGACTACGAGCAAGCCGGTCTTGTCTGAGAGGGAAAAGACGTATCGCTTTTTCTCACTAACATTCTTGAGATCTCAATTCGAAGGCAAAACCAAACCTTCTGAAGAGCTCGTAGCTTACCCAGAAGAGGAGTTTGTGTACTTCTATATACTGATGACTCTTGACAAAAAACTACTCTTCCTTCCTGGAAAAAAAATTTAAACTCTGTAGCGTTGGTATAAGGAAGTGTTTATGCAACTATTTCTCATTCGTCTTCAGAAGAGTTAAGGCAGCTGGAAATTCTCTATTTTCAGTTAGGCACTGGAAACCACTAGTTAACTACTAAAACAATTCAGTCTTATTTGTCCCCTTAATGATACATAATTAACGCCAATCTTCAATTTAAAATAAGCTTGAAAACAAACACCTCCAGCTTCATAAGGTTTAGTTTAGCAGATACCGAGGATTGCTTGAAAAATTCATACATTTTGTGTCTATTCAGGGGTACGGGAAAGATACAGTTACCCGGTTTCCCCTATGTTTTTTCACCACCACATTAAAAAAAAAAAAAAAAAAATCTATTTGCTTTAAGAAAGAAGCTTAGTGTTGCATTATCCAGAGTGGTTAGTACCAAATTTTCACCGATTCAGTCAGTGCCACTTTCCTCCCGTATTAATACAGCACAGATGCGAGTGCAAATTCAGGAAACCAAGTCAGAGCCGTCATGCTGCCGGAGGCGCCACTGCGCACCAACTTCAAAAGACGGAGCAGGGTACAGTGACTAACTCTTTGTCTCCAGTTTGGTGGACACATGCTGCAGACGACACCTTCCTCTCCCTCCTAACCCGGGGCAGAGCAATGCGTAAGGCTCCCCCCCATCTCCATCCCCTCGGCTGCTGCAACCCAGCTAAGGAACGAGCTCGGAGAAGAGGGGGTGCGCCCTGCCCGGGGCGCAGGCAGAATGCTCTTACGCTGTGGAAAGCTGCCGGAGCACGGAGCAGAGGAGGCGAGAAGAGAGCAGAAGAGGATGAAGGACGTGCCTCCCTCCCGGAGCCAACCCGCAGTGAAACCTGAGAGGTGATGGAGAGCAGAGGACTCTGCTAGGAGGCAGAAGGGGGGAAACAGGAGTTTCCTTTGTGGTGTGGAGACAGGCACGGCAGAGTTAGAGGGAAGGAGTCACCCACTCGGTGAGGGGAGGGGGCAGCCTTCTTGTCGAGCCCTTTTAATTCGCTTATATAACCCACCCCTCTTCCTGGCACTTTACGTTGGCTATTGCACGGCTATTCTTCTTCTCTTTCAAAAACCCGATACTTTCAAAGATTTGGAGCGCCTGGCACGCTTCTTTCGAGCAAAAAAAAAAAAAAATTGGGAGCTGACGCAGCACAGGCCCCGGCCCTACCCTGAGTCTTATCGCCAAGGAGAGCGCTGCCCGGCGTTGCGCTGAAGGGGCCGGTGCGCGGCACCTGCTGCACCGCACGTGGCCGTAAATGCAAAGCGGCGAGTTACAGGCCCCCCACCACGAGCCGTCGCGGGAGGGCGGCTTCCCCGGCATCGACCTGCTCCCGTCACGGGGGGGCTGGGGGGGGAGGCGAAGGTTGCAGCATGAGCCCCGCCACGCGCAGCCCTGAGGGGTAGGGTACGGCTCCGGCAGCGCCTCGCCACGGGCTGCTCTTTTTCCCCTCCAAATAACAGCACAGTGCGCGATGCTGCCGTAACGTGCGGCGAAGCTACTTCCAAACCAAACCGAAAAAGCGAGTGGTCTTAAGCGAGGACATTATTGTTAATTCAAGGACGTCACAGTTGCAGCTGATCGCGGCAAACCGACGTGGCAAAAAGAATCGAGCTGACTATCGTCATCCATGGCTGAGTCAAATAATTGAAATTATGAGCACATTTGTCCTTTTATTTTCGAGAGCAATATTTCGTTTGGAAATACAATATTTTGCCTGGCATTTCTGCTCTCTTCAAATCACCTTCTCTTTCTTCTTCCACCATTCGGACTAATAAAAAAAAAAAAAAAGAACAAACCAACCAAGCAAAAAATAAATCACGACCTAAAACTTTAATTTCAAATATTTTTTTTTTTTACAAAAATTATTCTTGAACAGCAAATGTTTGTTTGCCTGCAGACAGACTTTATATGGCTGTTTCAGAACAGCAGAATACTAGGATACTTCTCAGTACCTGTAGGTACTGTCCTAGCTCTACCAGTGCTTGCTTAAGCAACAAAAAATTAGTCACAAGTATAGAACAAATACACATAAACTTCTAATTAT